CATACTGCATAGGGAATTGTCTTAATTACGAAAATTCTACTACACAACGACAATTCTAAAAAAAAGCTCGAAATGACGCGTGATAAGTACGGCTGACCAGTGACAAGTTTAAAATGCACAACCCAACTCTTTGGAGAATAAACGATACGTTACTCTGGATAACAACACAACATGAAAGATAATTTTACTTTTATCTAATATGACTGACAGTTATTTAATTTACGAAAAACAATGATCATGTTGTTACATAGACAACTTGATGGGTTTTACAATCATTTTATTATGCACGAATGCAAATGATGAATTACATACTGGCTGGCTGATATATAAAGCTTGTATACCCCCAAGTTCAAATGTAACATCTCGAGTAATAATGTAGTGGACAGCAGATCGTCTTTATTTTTGTGAATACAGAATGTATATTTGAAGTTGATGCTAAATATATTATGACTAATGAAATGTTGACTAATGTTGTTACTGCAAAGATACGATCTAACGACGTTTGTGTTACAGCGTGTCTAAAGTGGTATCATGTGCACTGGCAGTACTTGTTATGAGTGTAAATTTGTACTTTGTATGGGTATTTATTGGAATCCTGCCAGACCATTGGGCTATATACACAGGAACTGCAGTGGTGATTGTTCTTTATATAGCATTTATTTCGTATTTGGTGAGTATTTAAAACCATTCATACAGTAATGCCAGGTTGATGGAGAGATCTCTCGTGAGATCGGTATTTATCGCGAGAGCCTAATGAATTCTTTCACAAGTGTTTACACGTGCGTCAACACGCTGTTGTGTTCGTGACTTATTCATTAGCATATGAGTTGCACAATTAATTGCCCATTTTTGTCTCTGTCTTTCTTGTATTATACAGAACGTAGAGCAATCGGTGTACGGTTTAGACAGGTTTTCACTGTGATGATAATTAATAGCAATCCACGGCTAAATGACATCATATAATACAGATTCCTAGAAACGTGTTCTCTATTCTTATTCATTTTTTGCTCTACAGACTTGGAGATGTCTGATTTCGTTGGGATTTGAGGGCTTGGCAAGAATGCATGTAAGTACTTCTTAGTATTATTGTTGTTGAAACATTGTACGAATAAAGACCACGAAATGAACAAACTACTACAGCTTCGATACGGAAGTGAGTTCAACTCATAATATTCATAAAATATACATAAAATTATATCAACCTTTACTGGTAACGAAAATGCAACCCAACCCAACAAGTATATTTGTTAACGGTGCAAATGTAACAGTTTTCAATATAAAACTGATCTCAATATTGCTACTTTGTGTGTAAAACACTGAACCATATTACGGGTTTTTGTTTTGTCCATAGCAAGTCTTTCACTAGACTGGCAAAGTCGGGACTTCTCTTTTTGTTTTACAAACAAAAATATAATTAATTGTTAATTTAGCCTTTTTAACATGATCGCGAAACCTAGCGTGACTGCGAAAAACCCCCCGACTGGACGCATCTGCAAGCGGCCCCCTGCGTTGGAGTGAAAATCGGAGCGGAATCACTCCGGTGATTATGCTAATTAAAAGTTGTTGACCACCATTGACAACGAATCAGAGTGCAGCTTATCTATATTAATGTTCGTGACCTTTCACTTCTGAGGTTCCGGCGATTTTGAAAGACTACTTATATACATTGGATATTTAAATCGACGTGTTTTCAATAAACATGGATGAAAGTATCGCCATTGAACTCAAAAGAGTTAAAGTATCCATCTTTGCGATCGAATCAAATCAACCTTTAAAATGTCATGTTTACTTTTACACACCCACTCATGAATAATCAATGACTCATGAATAATTAATAGCAGTCAAATGCCCGCAGATGCGTCCAGTCGCGGTTGCTTTAGCGGTCAGGTTAGTTTTCACGATCACGCTAAGGGACTAGAATAACAATTAATTATTTATTTTTGTAAAACAAAAAAGTAGTCCCGACTTTGCAAGTCTAGTCTTTCACACCTCCTGGCAATAGGTATAACGAACCAAAGTAATAAACACATGCACCTCACATCCACTCACATGATCACGTGATTCGCCAATCAGCAATTAATAATATTTAAAAAAAAAATTGATTTCCATCTCTGGTTTCTTTTCCTAAGTGCTGCGCGACTGACGTGTCAGAATATGAATTGGAGAGTTTGAATTGGAAGAAAGAATCTAAATTGTTGACTTCCGGCTTTGAAGAATCTGCTAATGGTAGCCTTGTAGAGAGATGAATACAATGGGACCAATTCGGGAAAATGAAAACAAGTGATTTTAATTTTATAAGAATTCTCGCGAATTTATTCCGTACACCAACAAATCTAGTGTGTATGGCATCTTCACATTACACTGACTAGCATGAACAGTATCTGCAGAATAATCGTAGTAATCTAAATTGTATTTCTAGCGTTCACATGTGTTTGACATCACTGCAACGTTGGCCCTTTTATTTGAATTTCAAAAAAAAAAAAATATTATGTATAGAGATTTCAATGTGTCGATTGATGATTGAATTCCTTTGCCATGGTTAGTCAGGTATCCATGTATGGTGGAGGACCTTCTTTATTATAATTTGGGATTGTGAGTTAGACAGCTGCAACAAATTGTTTTATTTAATTACTCCTCTGTTCATTGTTAGAGGAACTTGTATTTTCCATGTCACGTCTCTGACTAGCTTTTTATTTATGGGCGACCAAAGCTTTAAATAGAGTACGAGATATGAAGTGATCGCATCTAAACAAGAAATGGTTTCTGTCGTGTCAGTGTAAATTTATCTTGTTTTACTGCCAAATTGTATACTCGTCGGATAAAATGTTTTTGCGGTTGAAAATGTATACATGTACTTATGTAGCAGTATATTACAACAATTTGAGCTGACAGTTACTTTGCAGTTGAATTTAGTCAATTGG